GTAACAGAATTTCTAACAAGTGAAAAGTAAGTATTTTGATTTCTTTTTCAATGTAAACTTATGCGGTGGCTACTGCTGCCCATTAGCCCTTCCTTTTGACATTGGTTGCTTTTTTAAGATGATCTTGTTTGGGTCCAGTTTGCTTAAAATCAAGCCAGATATGTTTTTGTCTTAAAGTTGTTTTTTACTAACATGACAAACATTTGTTCCTGTTATCTGACTTTATCTTAAATTCAGTACTTGTCAATCAGATGTCATAAAAAGGGTTTTGCAGGAATCCTGAATATTTGTTACTATATAATAAGAAAAATACACAGCCAATAATTACAATTTATAGCCTAGATATAACTCTTTGGTTACAATCAAGGTGTCTTTTTTTACATTTTAAATAAATTTCCAAAAATAACATGCCAAACTCTTGTTCCCTTATAGTTTCTATTTAGCTTAAAAAAAAGGATTTCGATATCAATGTTTAAAAGTTGTATATTACAGCTATTGAGGAGAACCATCGGCAATTATTTCCTTATATTTACCATTGATTTTACTCACCGAAACTTAAATTTCAGCAGCTTTATTATACTTAGCTTTTTCTGATGTGTTGCTGGCAAAGAGTTTGAAACAGAATCGTTCAGTAACACTGAATCAAATGAGGAAAATTAAATCTGGGAGATGCATGTCTAAAGCAGGACAATGAAGAGGGGGAGAAAAAGGAAAACATCAGTCCGCATTGTGGGGTTAAATCAGTAGCCTCAGGGTCATTGAGCATCATTTCTGTGAATGTGAGCAGCTGGCGAAAGAAACATCAGACCTTTAGAAAGAGATCAAGATGTACTCTAGGCTAGAGTTGTCCTCCGAGGCGTTTCGCTCACTCCTCCAGTTGGATGAGTGTGATTGGGAAACGTTGAGGACCAGATGGCTCCCTCCTCCTTTTATTCTCCCTCCCTTCTTCTGAGATAATTCTCGCCTTGCCTTCTCTACTGCTTTCTTACCTCCTTGGCATGAGTCTGCTGGTATGTAATGTTATTTTGGCTAGTAGGCAAAAAAGACTCGGGCATGCTGACATTTTTCCAGCAGAAAAAAAAGAAATGAAAGCTCCATGCCTCCTGCTGTCCTGCTCTTCTCTTGAAAATATGCTGTCAGCTATGGGCAGCCTTGTTCAACACCACTACGCACACAAATGCAAGTTTTCCCTCTTGAAACACACAAATACACACGCGTGCATGCACTCTCCTCTGCAGACGAGATGGAGTCAAACCCACTCTGTAGCTGTGGGGCAGACAGGAAGAAAATATCACCATCCTGCTAATGTTGTTTTAAATATCTGTGTCTCTGGGCCAGCCGGCAAGTTCTGTTACCACGCTGTCAGTGGTGCTGAGGCTCTATCACATCCAGCATTACCCCAGTCCATTTGACTCATTTAGTCAGATTTCATTTGAGTTTGTTGAATTTATGAGTGATTGTGTTATTGGGCTGACTCAGATTAAAGTAAAAAGTCTGATAAGACCCATTTAGTTATCAGTTTAACACATGCCGAAGCAAATAAATACAGGAAACAGTGATGCTTAGAGGGATCTATGTTCAGGGTGGGGTTATTTTTTTGGTTCAATTAAAATTCAGACCCATTCAATAAATTAGAAAACTATTAAAGTTCATTAATTTAATCAGTGGTGGTTCTTGGTGTTCTGCTTACAGCTAATTAAGACATAGCATTTAATATTAGAATATCACATCAGATCAAATAAATATCTAATATAGTAATGGAGACAGTGAAATGGAGCCTAAACATATGAATCTGGAAGAACCTATCAAATCTTACCTGCATCTTCCACCCCTTCTTCCGACCTACATGCCATCTGGATCTTTCTCTGCCAAACTTCTGCTCAGCCCACGTCCACAGCGGCCAATAAGCATCCAGTATACTTCTTTTTTAACCACCTCATCCATGGCTCTGTCTGCCTGTTTGTGTTTTAAAAATGCCGGTGCAAAGAGAACCGCAAACCCTGAAGGTTTTTACTTTGAAAATGTAGTAAAGCTTTCATTCAATGAAACAAAGCATCTTGTACAGAGATGTGAGTTTAATTGAGTTCAGATTTCGTTTTTTTCCAAAAGAAACATTAGATATTTTTATTAATAAATGAAACAATAAAAAACCTGTATAAAGATGGTATTAGCTAAAGCATAAAAAGTTGGTAATTACAGTCTATGGTTCCAATCAAGTGAAAGTTGTGATATTTTTCTAAGAGTTGATTAGGTTGTTGAAAGAGCCACATCTGTTGTGAGGTCAAACAATGTGAAACATGTTACAAGAAAAAAAAAGAGGGATCTGGCTGCAGACCTGCACTGTCAGGACCCTGGCTGGAGAGCTGCACTGTCAGGACCCTGGCTGCAGACCTACACTATCAGGAACCTGGCTGGAGAGCTGCACTGTCAGGACCCTGGCTGCAGACCTACACTGTCAGGAACCTGGCTGGAGAGCTGCACTGTCAG